GCTTAACAGCAGCTAGTCCCTCGAGGTCCTGAAAGCCTTGCTTCCAAACTCCTTCGAGACTTACACTATCCCTAACCCCCAATAATTAAAAAGTATATAATAATCAGTCACTCCTCCCAATCCCACTGCAGCTCTTCCTGCCCATGGGTCCTGTCCCTGTGCTATAATAAAAACACCTTTTTGCACTGTAAAACGTCTCAAGACCTCTTTCTTGACCGGTGAGCTCAACGATCCCCCATCATCCTCACTTAAGAGAATGAGAACAAAGAGATTACTATCCCCATTTTATAGATGAGGAAAGGCCTCTGGCACAGAGGGGGCAAGTGATTTGCCCCAAGCCCAGCTGCTTCCAAAGCCTGGGCTTGGAATGACTCCGATTTGGTTCCTCCTGACATTTGTCTTTTTCCTCTGCCAGCCCACTTCCACCCAGGCTTGAACAAGGCTTATTGTCCCAGATTCCCATGGCCAAAGGGCAGGTACGGGCTAGAGTTCCCTTCCCTCCCTCCTGACTGACCTCATGAAAAACAAAGAGCCTTCTGGGAGCAGATTCACATGGGCTTCCCTTGCATGCACTGAGCCCACCACCCACCAGAGAGAGAGCAGCCTCTGCCCACCCCTCCCTGTCTTACCCAGAAGCAAATTTTCTATGTAATGGACTCCAAGGTCTGAGCTTGGTTGTATTTTCCAGAAGATCTGGCTCTGGATATTTATAAAAACTCCCTCTTTGGAGCACAGCCAATGAGATAGGTGTTGTTTCCTGGAAACTGGAAACCGAAACAAGAATTTTTACTCGGGTTTTGGGGCTGGCCAAGTAATAGAAATTGACCAGGTGGGGTGCCTGGGTGGCTCAGTTGGTTAAGCATCTGCCTTCGGCTCAGGTCATGATCCCAGGGTCTTGGGATCGAGCCCCGCATCGGGCTCCCTGCTCGGTGGGAAGCCTGCTCTCCCTCTCCCGCTCCCCCTGCTTGTGTTCCCTATGGCGATGTCTCTGTCAAAAAATAAAATCCTTAAAAAAAAAAGAAATTGATCTGGTGGGGGCGGGGGGGGTGGTGGACTGGATGTAGAGAGCAAGATGAGTCACTCATGTCAAGCAGTAATGTCAGCCCCCAAGGGTGTTGTCTCTTAAGACCAGACGTCACCGAAAACCAGCACAGGCTGATGACACATCCAGAACTGAGAACTAGCAGAGCCAGAAGTCGGCCAGGGTCCAAGACTGATTAAATCCCTTGAAAAGGGGAGGATTTTTTTTTTTTTATTTGACAGAGAGAGACACAGCGAAAGAGGGAACACAAGCAGGGGGAGTGGAGGAGGGAGAAGCAGACTTCCCGCGGAGCAGGGAGCCTGATGCGGGGCCTGATCCCAGGACCCCGGGATCATGACCTGAGCCGAAGGCAGACGCTTAATGACTGCGCCACTCAGGCGCCCCAAAAAGGGGAGGATATTTGTAGCAAACTGGGTAGAGCCTCTTTTTCTTTTTTTTTTTTTAAGATTATTTATTTGAGAGCAAGAAAGCACAAGAGGACAAATGCAGGGAAGGGCAGAGGGAGACAGAGAAAGAATTCTCAAGCAGACACCCAGCTGAGCGTGGAGCCCGACACAGGGCTCCATGTGGGGCTTGATGTGGGGTTTGATCCCACAGCCCTGAGATCGTGACCTAAGCCAAAACCAAGAGTCCGAGGCTCAACCCACTGAGCCACCCAGGCGCCCCTTGTTCATTAACTTTTTACCTCTTATTCTATCTTGTTTGTTGTATCTTATACTTTGCTTTGTGTTCCGTGTTAAGAAGCCAAAGTAACCACATAGTTAAATGTCATTGAGTTTGGAATCCTGAACCTACTTCATCATTGCGTTAACTTTGCTTTGTAATTGAATAAAGTTGGCATTGTGGAAAGACACACTCATGTGTGTGCCTTCATAGTGTACTTGTGACATGGAAGTTCTAGGCAAGGGTTTTATTTTATTTATTTTTAAAAATTTCATTTATTTATTTGACAGAGAGAGAGAGAGACAGACAGCAAGAGAGGGAACACAAGCAGGGGGAGCAGCAGAGGGAGAGGGAGAAGCAGACTCCCTGCTGAGCAGGGAGCCCGAAGCGGGACCCAATCCCTGGACCCTGGGATCATGACCGGAGCCAAAGGCAGACGCTTAACCCACTGAGCCACCCAGGTGCCCCAGGCAAGGGATTTATTGGGGCTTATGCTCGAGCAACAAGGAGACAGCACGAAAGAAAGGATCCTTCGGGATGAACAAAGGCCAGGGAAAGTTTTTAAAGAGGCCAAGGTGGGAAAGGAGTGACATCTAAGCATGTAGCGGGGAGAGATACAAGAAGCTGAGTATGCAGGTGCACTGGACAGAACATGCTTTGTCATGCATCGTGTGTCTCATGAGCATGTTAAATCTCCACCCTTGGGTGTGATTTGTAGTATTATAATGAGGGAAAAAGTTGGTGGAAAGTCAGCGTTGGGGTCAACCTCGGTGCAGACTGGTGTGGTTGGGTCTTCGCCAACTTCCTAGTCGAGTCCCCTCTTTGGTAAGCATCCTGCTTCCACATTCCTGCAAGATATGCTGCTCAAGGGGCCTAGGGTTTCTGCTATCCAGGAACGCTGGGCGTCAGGATCGAGGGGACCCAAATCCAGTCCCTGCGCTGTCTCAAAACCATTGCCACTTTGAAGGCCTCCCTTCTCTTCCGCATTGAATTGTTTGAAAGTAAGGTAATCTCTACATAAGAAACCCTCACCTACAACGCAGAGCAAACTACGTTAACGTTCCTGCCTGTAACTCTCAAACACAATCTAAAGCTTAAACTGTACCCAAGGTAAGAATCGATATTGTTTAAAGCTCTATAAGGAACTTAAAAAATGCAACTGATACCAACCCCAAAGCAGGTGACAACCCAGCGACCGCAACCAGGGACTCGGTCAAGGCAGAACAGATAACCCCGCAATTAGAGCCTACAATCTTCTCTCAAGAATTAGAATCAACCTTTGATTTTATGTGCTTAATCTTTGAGGCTGACTTCTCCTTCCTTTCACCTGTAAAATTCCTCCCCTGCATGGAGGTGGTAAGATGGTCGGTTGTCTGGGACATTAGCCCGCCATCTTCTTGGCTTGTGGGCTTTCTCAAATAAATTGTATGCCTTGCTTCAACAACTTGTCACTCAACTTATTGGACGGTCCTGAGGTGAGCAGCTTGATCGCGGGTTCAGTAACCCTTTCAGGGGTACAGAGGAGGGTCTTAGTGTCCCTGCAGAGGTTGTTTCTTAAGTAACTTTTATTTAAAATAGTCAATATACCCACAT